TCAAATAGTAACATTGATTCCTTTTCGGTGATCCAGATTACGATTAGGAGCTCTAGCATCGGATTTCATTGCAAAGATCGAAATGGAAAAATGACTGGCCGTTAACAAGTCAAGTCTATGCTGATAGAATTCGGTTCAACTTGGAATTTATATCCGATAGTAAATGTTTCAGTCAATCTAAGCGGCATAAAGTGATGAAAAACTGATAGTTGAATTTTCCCACAAGCATATAATCAGACATTAAGTCTCCATTTAATTGCATTTTGCAAAAATGTATTATCCTCCCGACTCAACTGGATTTGGCCATACTGCAATCTCGGCCTCGCCTGAACCGGTTGCATCAACATACTAACAGGAAACGAACCCAGGTTGTGGTAGATCAACGTAGAATTTCAACATCTTACCACTACGCCGTAATGTCGCCAGTGTCCCTGAGACAGAGAACAGAAGCTAACTACAGATAAAGAGCATACCACATATATCCTGAGATTGTCGATGAGGCAAATTTGTATTGTGACATTACAATCGATTACGCTACTTATATCCATTGAAAGTAGAACTCTTAAACAAGATTTAACGATGGTTTTAAAATCAACCTTTAAGCACCAAAAGTAGCATAATGGAGTATAATGGCAAAATACACGATGTGATATGGGAGAGGCTTGGCAGTGTGGCGTGGTGGTAACATGTGGAGAATAAACTCTACATCATGTGAGTTCGAGTCCCGCTGGTGGAGGTAATAAACTACGATGGGGTGAAGTGAAAATAGCAATTCAGTCAAATCGAGATGATAATTGCTTTTGGAAAGTAAGGCTATGTGAAACTAAATGGAAATGGGAAATGGGAAAATTAAAATATCCATTCTCTATTGGCTTATGTGATTTACGGCGTGATTATTCCATTTTATTTGCATACATAATCGCGTATTCAAGTTATTCATCAATTAGTTGATTTGTCAATTCAACAACTCACCTCCAACTCCTGTTCTTTGATCACCTCTTTGGCTTCTGAATATCTGTCGAACCATTCGTGGTCTTTGTCGGCCATCGACACTAAAGCCACATCACGACTGACTTGCTTCAGTCGGCGGTCCCAGTCACGTAAACGTTCTTTGGTAGCTTTACTTTCACGCAATGCCGCCTCTACGGCTTCACGAGAGGCAGTGATTGTGCTCATCGTGGGGCCGCGATAGCCATAAGCCATTGCAGAACTGATGCCAGAAGTGGTAGGCGAGGCGACGGTCGTTGTTGAAGGAGCTGTGGCGGCGAGCACGCGAAGACGACGATTTTCTCCATTTAGTCTATCGTTTTCAAGCTGAAGTTGGTTGAGTCTCTCTTGCATTTGATTGGCTGACTGGCGTACATTGGCAAAGTCCTCCGTGGCTAAGAAAGGGAAAAAAGATAAATATTAAAATGGAATTAAAGGTTAAAAGGGCAGTAAAAAAGAGGGAATAAGTGAAATACAAGAAATATTACTGCATGTTGAGGAGAGCACTACTCAAATGAGTGTTAGTAAGTAGAGTAAAAAGACTGTGAGGATTAAGAAATGATCGTTTTGAAGAAGAGTTGTGATGTTGAAAGACGGGTAATTGAATTTTTCCATAAGTAAATGAGCAGTCCTCGCGTTTTCAGGGAAGTTTACATCCAAACTGGACTCTATAAGTGTCGAACTCGCCTGAACTGGCAGGACTTCAGCTTGAGTTGTGTTAGTTCAGTATATTGTCTCAACACTCTAAGCACTACAACAGACTGCCACGAGTGCCCTCGGGTCACAAAGCAAAAGGGAATTTTGCCATATCACAGTTCTTTGGGTGGGTTTGTCGTTAAAGCAAAATTGTATTTGTTATTTGAGCTGTTTTCACTCTATTTCGCTCAAAGTGATGAAGGACTGGTAGTTAAATTTTCCCATTAAGATATGAGTAGACATGAGATTTTCATTGAATTTCACATAGCCTTGATTGCCTTAAATGCTTATTCTTCAGACTAGACTCTAGTTTCGACCTCATCTAAGTCTTATCAACACCCTAAGCGAGAGTCGAACCATGACAATGCCGCGTATAATCTCGACACATTACCTAATACGTCACATTGTAATGACTGCTTTTGAGTCACAGAGCAGATGTACATTTTAAGAAAGGCCTTGCATTTTTCCATAGCACATTGTGAAAGTGAGATTTTCGATGAGGCAATCTTATATTTGCTATAGCAATCGACGATATTACATATTTTTCGTCTCGAGTAGATTTTCTACACTACCCGTAAATATATAAGTTTGCTTTATCGATAATCCCAATACATAATGTGATATTGAAATTCACAGCTGCCCTGTGACCCAAAAGGGACTCGTGGCAACGTGATGTATTGGTTGACGTGTTGAGAGTCATGGCTCGAGTCCAGATGGAGGTGTTGATAAGACCTAGGTGAGGTTGAAACTGCAGTCCAGTCTGGAGGAGAAGACCTTTAGACAAATCAAAGCTTTGTAAAATTCAAAGGAAACGTCATGTCTACTCATATCCTACCAGCCTTTCATTACTTTTAATGAAATATGACGAACACATCTCATCATAGCATTATCTCCCAGACCTAATTGAAACGAAAAATAGTATTTGCTATTAGAATCGAG